GCTGATTGTTTTGAACGGCCAACCTGCAGTTAGCAGCCCAACGAGGAACCACTACGATTTGAGCAGCACCCTCAGAATCTTCTTTTCAAATTATTTCCTTGGGAGCGCAGGGTGCCCCCTAGGCTGTGGCACTGTGCCCCCATTCAGGAGTCTTCCTTTATCTCCTTTCTCAGTACCTACTCTCTGCCCCTGGTCCCTCCAACACTCCTTCCTCCAGTACCCCCCCCCCCTTCCTGGGTCATCCTAACAAGTGCTCTTTCTCAGACAGTGGGAAAGCAGTCTGGCTCCCGAAGTCCACCCCTTGCACCCCAAGGTCCAGATGGCAGCCAACGTGGGTGATCAGCGCAGTGCAGATTGGTTAGTGGAGCTGGTGATGTCCAGAGGAGTGGTGGTGGTGGTGGTGTGTGTGTGTGATTCATCATCTGACCAGAAGGCCTTGGAAGGCACCTGAGGGTGGGCAGGCCTCAGCGAGCTCCCCATGGGGTCCCCTGGGGCCAGCTTCCTCTCGGCCTGGGTGCTCCTAGCAGCTCACCAGGAGCAGATTGGGCTCCTGAGACAGGAAGGCCAGTTGAGGGCCAGATGCCCCTGGGAAAGGCTGGCACCTGCAGTGTGGTGTCAGGCCCAAGTTGGGTTCCCAGGGTGCTGGCTGCCCTTGCTTGGTTTGGTTGTCGCAGCCACTGTGGGGGTGGGGAGCTCTGCACTCAGCAGTCGAGTGTCCTTCGGCAGAAAAGAGCCTGATTGGGAGCTCGGCAAACTGGGGTGACGCCAGGGGGCGCTGGTTGACAGGGTGGTGGTCCTCTGCAGGTCCTCACAGTACAGCATGGTGGCCGGGGCCAGCAGAGAGAATGGAATGGAGGCGCCCATGCACGAGAACCCGGAGTGGGAGAAGGCCCGGCAGGCCTTGGCCAGCATCAGCAAGGCCGGCGCCGCGGGCAGCTCCACCAAGGCCAGCAGCAATGGGCCGGCGGCCAATGCCCAGGTGGGAGGGGACCCGGGCCAGGGGGAGTGGGGGGGATTTCACCAGAGCCAGGCATTCAGCATGCTGGGGAGGAACAAGATTGGGCCTGCTGGGGAGACTTGGTTGCCATTGCCCACCAATCAGCAGACCTCCCTTCCGGGGATGACGAGTGTTGCTGGCCCATCCCTGACTGTCTGCCTTTCCCCCAGTACGTGTCCCAGGCCGAGGCCCTGCAGCAGCAGCAGTACTACCAGTGGTACCAGCAGTACAACTACGCCTACCCCTACAGCTACTACTACCCCGTGGTGAGGGCTGGGGCAGGGCTGGGCGGCGCGAGGAGGGTCCTGACCCTGTGTGCTGACTCTGTGCACTGAGTGGTGCTCTCCTGCACCCCCAGCAGAGCATGTACCAGGGCTACAGCTCAACCTCCCAGTACGGCATGACCAGCTCCTACAGCTCAGCCGCCCCACAGCAGCCGGCCACTCCGCAGCACCAGGGTGCACTCAGCCAGGTAAAGAACGTGGCCCCAAACCCCCATCTGACAGCGAGGGTGCAGAGCATAGAACGGGAGACCAGCCTGGGCCCAGGGGGTGGGGGTGTCCGGTCTCCTTACCCCAGCACTCAGGTACTCACTGGCATGCAGTAGTGCACACACTCACTTATGCATGCTTGTGTGCTCACTTGCTCAACTGTCAACGTCACTGGGAGCCTCTGGGAAGGTCAGACGTGGACTCATGTTCGGCATTGCAGGCTAACAGCTGGCGCTCGGCCTCCCTGCACCTGCGCTTCAGCTGAGCGGGAGAGTGGCGTGTGGGATCCAGAGAGTCTAGTAGCGAGGGGTGGAAGTGTGGGTATCTTGGGGGGACTGTGGGAAGGAGCCACACCCTGCCTGTGGCCCCCGCCCTAAGTGCTGGCTTCCTCGTAGCCCCCTGTGCCCAGCATGGATGAGGGCATGTCCTACCAGGCACCCCCCCAGCAGTTACCAGCCCAGCCCCCTCAGCCATCTAACACCCAGCATGGGGCCCACCTGAGCAGTGGCCCCCAGCCAGGGACAGTGCCAGCCACGCAGCACGGCCAGGCGGGGGCGCCGTCAGGCCAGGCCTATGGACAGCACAGCTACCCGGAGCCCGCCAAGCCCAAGAAGGGCCAGCAGCTGTGGGGCCGCATGAAGCGTAAGTCAGGGGCTTGGTTCAGCACGCCCTGGTGGGGGAAAGACCCTGGGGGCTGCTAGTCCTCTGGTCCCCCAGGGCTCCAACAGAGACCACTCCAGGCCTTGGAGCCCAGCCTTTGGTGGGAGTGAAGCTTCTGCTCTGACTACGGCTGTGCTGCCCCCACAGCTGCTCCCGGGACCGGCGGTCTCAAGTTCAACATTCAGAAGCGGCCCTTTGCTGTGACCAACCAGAACTTCAACGCCAGCTCAGAGGGGCAGCATGGCAGCTTTGGCCCCCAGCCCAGTGCCGAGAAGGCCCCGAGTCACAGGTGACTGCCCGAGGGGAAACACCCACCACCACCCAAAGCCAGGCTTAACAGCGACCTAGATGATGGTTTGAGGGACAGACCCATGGCCCAGCAAGTGAGATACAGTTCTAGGGACACTTTGGGTCTCAGAAATGGGACATTTGTGGCCTCTCCAGCTGCTGTGAGCAGAGCACAGGGTGCCATGTGTGGCAGACTTGCTAGCACACTGAGCCCCCACCTCCCCCATCAGCGGGACTGCCCCCCGGGAAAGCCTGTCAGGGAAGCCGGACGATTGGCCGCAGGACATGAAGGAGTATGTGGAGCGCTGCTTCACAGCCTGCGAGTCGGAGGAGGACAAGGACCGCACCGAGAAGCTGCTGAAGGAAGTGCTGCAGGCGCGCCTGCAGGACGGCTCGGCCTACACCATCGACTGGAGCCGCGAACCGCTGCCTGGGTGCGGAGGGAAGTGGGGGTCATGGGACGGTGCCCTGCCAGCTGGGGGGTGGGCAGGCTTGCTGACAACATCCATTTCTGCTTTCCAGGCTGAACCGGGAGACCGTGGCTGAGAGCCCCAAGAAGAAGCGGTGGGAGGCCCCCGGCAGCCTTCACCCTCCCCGGGGGGCAGGCTCAGCGAGCAGGGGTGGGGGTGCCCAGGCACAGCGGGGGACACCTGGGGCGGGGAGCGCCAGCCGAGCCCGCGGCAGCTTCGCCAAGTTCGGCAACCGCAACGTGTTCATGAAAGACCACCACAGCTCCTCTTCTAGCACTGGGTCCCGCTCCCGCTCCTCTTCCCGCTCCCCCACGCACCACTTCCGCCGGAGGTATGGCTGCAGGCAGCCTGCCCCATCAGGGAGCGGGGAGTGGGGTCACAACCCCACCAGAGGGACCAGGCCTGGAGGGTGGGGGCGAGGTACTGCCCAGGTCTGACCTCCTCCCTCCCACACAGCGACTCCCACTCGGACTCAGACAGCTCCTACTCGGGGAATGAATGCCACCCTGTGGGCCGGAGGAACCAGCCGAAGGGCCGGGGCGGCCGGGGCGCTCATATGGATCGGGGCCGGGGCCGGCCGCCTCGGGGGAAGAGGTGAGCACTCTGGGTGTGAGGGAGGTGGGGCGCTGGGACCCCATGTCCTGGGGAGGAGGGTGCTGTGCCTTCACACAGCTGATGCTCGCTGCCCCCAGGCAAGACCTTGCTAATACCAAGCGGGGCCGCAAGAAGATGGCAGCCCTGGAGTGCGAGGACCCAGAGCGTGAGCTGAAGAAGCAGAAGAGGGCGGCGCGTTTCCAGCATGGCCACGCCCGCCGCCTGCGCCTAGAGCCGCTGGTGCTGCAGATGAGCAATCTAGAGAGCGGCGGTGCCGACCCCGACTGGCAGGAGCTGCAGATCGTTGGCACCTGCCCCGAGATCACCAAGCACTACCTGCGGCTCACCTGTACGCCCGACCCCTCCACCGTGCGCCCAGTCGCCGTGAGTCACCTCGGGCAGACCCACCATGTAGCTTTAGGGAGCATGTGGGCTCAGGGTGTCCTGGGGGCAGGGGGGTGGCTTCAGGGTGGGTTTCACAGTTGTGGCTTAGGGGGGGAGGCTAGCACCCCAAGTCCCCACTGAGCCTCGGCCTGACTGTGGGCAGGTGTTGAAGAAGTCGCTGGCCATGGTCAAGTCGCATTGGAAGGAGAAGCAGGACTATGCATTCGCTTGTGAGCAGATGAAGTCCATCCGCCAGGACCTGACGGTGAGGCAACCGGGCTGGGGGGGACTGCACCTCGTCTTTTCCACCGGCCACCCCAACCCCAGGACCTAACCCTCCCTCTATCCAGGTCCAGGGCGTCCGAACAGAATTCACGGTAGAGGTTTATGAGACGCATGCCCGCATCGCCCTGGAGAAGGTGAGCAGACTGCCCTTCCTGGCCCTGCTCCTCTCCCCGGTCAGCATCTCCCAGCCTTGCCCCTCTCCCCGGAGAGCTCTCCCAGCCCTGTCCCTCTCTGTTTCCTCCCTCCAGGGGGACCATGAGGAGTTCAACCAGTGTCAGACACAGCTCAAGTCTCTGTATGCCGAGAACCTGCCGGGGAATGTGGGCGAATTCACTGCCTACCGGATCCTCTACTACATCTTCACCAAGAACTCGGGTGGTGAGCGGCCAGCCTGGGCACCTGAAGGGTGGGGGTATCCTCCCGCCGCAGCTGCCCTCACTTCCACCCTCCTACACCCGCAGACATAACCACGGAGCTGGCGTACCTGACTCGGGAGCTGAAGGCTGACCCGTGCGTGTCCCACGCCTTGGCGCTGCGGGCGGCCTGGGCTCTGGGCAACTACCACCGCTTCTTTCGGCTCTACTGCCGTGCGCCCTGCATGTCTGGCTACCTGGTGGACAAGTTTGCAGACCGGGAGCGCAAGGCGGCCCTCAAGGCCATGATCAAAACGTATGTGAGGCCGCGTGTGCCCCCGCCGCCCCTCCTCGTCTCCTTCCACTCCACTCTCAGGCCTGTGGGCGGGCGTCTCTGGCCCACCAGCCTCTCCCCCACACCCTTGTGGCTGCTCTCCAAGCTCCCCTGCCAGCCCCACTCTGTTTGTCTGCCCCTCTGTCCACCAGCCTCCCTGCTCCTGGCATCTCAGCCGGGACTTGGTGTCTTCCTCCTGCTGGGGGCTCTTGGCTTCCTCTGAGCTCCCACTGTCACCACCTTCCCTGCCTCTGTCGTTTGCCTCCACACACACGCAGGCATGCACGGAACGGCACTCGTGCTCGGCTGCGCTGGCCCAAGGGAGCAGATCCCCTTCCTCTCTGACTTAGCCATGTGTACTCTGAGAACTGGGGTGTGTGTGGGGGAGGTGCTCACAGGTTGTGTCCCTTGTCAGTCAGGGGGCCAGGTAGCCTGCAAGATCGCTGGGTATGACTGGAGTCCTTTCGGTGGTTAGAGCCAAGAGGGTGCTTGTGGCAGCCCAGGCAGCCGTGCAGGTCAGACAGTGCCCTTGCCCATTGTTGGGCCTCAGCGCCCGTTGGCTCAGACGGAGGGACTTTGACTTTGTGGCTAGCAAGTCCAGGGGCCCTTGAGTGCTAGCCTGGCACCTTGGCCTTTCCGGGGGGCAGGGCTGGGGTAGAGCTGGCCAGGTGGGCCCAGGGAGAAGGCCAGGAGGCACAGTGGGTACCTTGAAGATGACAGTGCCATCTGCCCTGGGAGTGACGAGTGGGGCAGAAGCCACCAGTTAGACGTGTTGCAGGGGCTGCCCATGTCCCCTGCCCTCAGGCCTGGGAGCCCTGTCCTGCAGCTGCCCTCCCCTTGTGAGGGCAGTGTACTGTCACCTGGCCCAGGGAGGGGGGGCCCACTGGGGACTTGTGGTGCTGGCTAGGCCTCCCTGCTGACGGGTCTTTGCGTGGGGCAGGCGTGCGGTCCCTCGGAGCCCCCAGCAAGGCCCCAGGGAGCACTGGGTGTTGTAGTCAGTAGTCTGCTGCAGTGCCGGTGGGTCCCCAGGGTAGCCCTCAGCTGTGCCGGCTCCCAGGCCGTTGTGCCCTGTCCCCTGCACAGGTAAGTGGGGATGAGGGGGGGCACAGCTGGGGATTGGGGCCACCAGGCCCTCCCCAGGGCCCCCCAAGTCCCTGAGGGGGGAGGTTGGCAGAGGTGTGGGGGGGCAGTTTAATTAAATGTTGCCTTGGAGGCCCTCTGGGTGCCTGACCGAAGGGGTGGGGTGTCCACCTTGCCGTGGCGCCCTCCCCACCCACCTTGCCACCTGCCTCACATTCTCTCCTCTTGTCTCCCTAGCTTCCGCCCAGTGCTGCCCGTCTCCTACCTGCAGGCCGAGCTGGCTTTTGAGGGCGAGGCCGCCTGCCGGGCCTTCCTCGAGTCGCTGGGCCTGGCCTACACGGGCGCGGACAACGCCAGCGTCGACTGTCGTCTCAGCCTGGCGCAGCTGCCAGCCTTCTGAGCTCAGCGAGGGTGGGGTGGGGGGTGGGCTGCGGCGGCCAATTGTTGCTGAGCCATGGACTTGGGGTGTAAATTAACTGGGGGGCTGTGTGGGCTCCTGGCTGAGCCACCACCTCCGCCCCGTTTTTCCCACCAGGGAGTCTGTACAGAGATTTTTTTCTACATTTTTATTTTTGCCTCGGGATGGGGGTGGGGGAGGTGGGGTGGCAGGGGCTGTGGGGTCATCCGTGTCCACTTTTCGCCTCCACTAATGCCGTCTCAGTGTTTTTTCTCTCTCTTTCTCGAGCTCCGACTCCGGTTCCTGAGCTGGCCCGACCCACGCTAGGGCGGTCAGCAGAAGGAAGACAGGCCGACAGTCTGCCGTGTGCCGTCCACTGGCGGCGGGCCATCCTGCCCGCCCGAAGCCTCGCCTGCCTCTCATCACAGACTCTTGTTGCCCAGCCCTTTGGGGCTCTCAGTGTGGGGGTTGGGGAGCCGCCTAGAGACTATGCCCTTGGCCCCCACCCCAGAAATGCCGTCGCCACTGCCACCGTCACCAGCTGCGCCCGCCGCCACACGGCACCGAAGACTCCGGAGGCCTCGTGGGAGCTCGCCGGCCGGCCGGCCTCGTCTCAAGTTGTATTAAGTTGTCTTGTGTCCCTCCTCCCTCTGCCCCAATGTTTCTCTGGCCCCCCTTCCTCCCCTCCCCCTGGTTCAGCACAGGTAAAGCCGTTCCCCCCCTCCCCTCCATGGATCACCAGCTCACTCAGCCATCTTCCTTCTCGTTTCTTTTTCTGTGTGTTTATTTAAGTTCTTTTTCTCCCCCTTTTCTTTCCTCCTCCTCCTCTGCCATGTAACTGGATGATGTGCAAGGAGTTCAAACAGCTGGACTGTCAGGCTGCTTTTCCAGATGTTCCTCCTCTTCTGCCTCCCCTCCCCCTCTTCCCTTCCCCTTCCTTCCTTCCTTCGTTCCTTCCTCGGAGCACTGAGCGCCCTGTGGAAGCTTGAGAGACACCACATTAAAAGGAGAGAGCGCGCGTGCACCAACAGTCGTTCTGCCAGCTGTCAGCTCGCCTGGCTTAGCCCTGACGCCCTGCCCTGGCTGCCTTGGGGTGGGGTGGGTAGTCACCTCAGGGGGATCTCTGTAAGGGCCCTGTAGGCCTCACCCGCCCTGCCCATCCGGCAGAGCCAGAGTCTGTCCACGGTCTGGCTGGCCCGCTCCGGCTGCAGGCTGAAGCTCAGCGCCGGGAGGCTGGCCGGGGAGCCTTGGGGCACCTTAGCCAAGGTGAGGTGGGGGCGCAGCCCACCTGGTGGCCGTATCACTCCCAGTCCATCGGCCTCTAGTCTCTGGCACAGCATCTCAGCTGTGTTCTCCAGTGTTGGGAACGGGGGTGCACAGAGCACGTGGGGGCCCAGAAGGACCAGGTCCCTGAACCTCAGTTCTGGGGGTGTGCGTAGCTCCGGGTGGGAGAGGGCCTTGCTCAGAGCCTGGGCAGCGGCTGCCTCCTCTCCAAGGCCAGTCAGGCGCAGCAGGGCCAGCGTTAGGTGCAGGGCCTGTGCGGGCACCAGGAACGACGCACAGGCCGGTGCCGCCTCTTCCAGGAGTGCCTGGGCCTGTGCCACTTGGGCCAGCAGCCCAGGCTCGGTTACCAGTAGGGCCACGAAGTGCGTGGGTCTGGGCTGTCGAGGGCCTGCTGTGCTCCAGGCCCTGGGCCCCCACCCCACCTCCAGGCCTGCTGGGACTCCAGCCTCGTTGTCTGTCTGAGCCGTGGCCCTGGCGGCCTCCGTTAGGGTCGGTTCCCCTCCCATCTCCCAGGTGCCTCGCTGCCCGGTTGTGTCGGATTGCGGAACCGCTAGGGCCTCCGCCGCGCTACATGGCGTGTCCGGCCTGCCGGCGGCGCCCAGATCTGTCATCTCTTGCTCTCCAGACGCTCCGCACCTAGTCTCCAGCCTGTCAGCATCCAGCGCTCCGGGTTCGCTCTGGTCGAGCATTTCCCCGACAGGGGCATTCCCATAAGGGCCTTCAAAGTCTAGCGCGCCCTCGTCGGGGTCTCCCGGGCCGGGTGCCTCCCGGTCCAGCGCCTCCAGGATAGTAGGCCCGCGGCCGTCGGCCAGCCCCGAACCGAAGACGTGGTCCGTGCGCGAGGCGCGGTCCCAGACCAGGCGGCCGCGGAAGCGGAAGTAGCGCACGCGGTGCTGCGGGATGGCCAGGACGCCCGGGCCGAGCGCGGCGAGGGGCGCGTCCCAGCAGAAGGCGCTGAAGGGCTCTTCCCGCACGCCCAGGAAGCGGTCGGCGTAGCCCACGGAGAAGTCGGCCGGGTCGAGGCGCGGGTCCCAGCGGATGCGCTGGATGACGGCGGCGGCCGTGCGCAGCGGCGGCTTCTTGTCCCCCGGTCCGGCCTGGGCCTGAGCTGGGCTCGCGTCACAGGGCTGCTCGGGCGCCGGCGCCCCCGGGTGCGGCTGGCGGCAGCGCGAACCGAAGCGGCAGCGGCCCTCTAGGAAGAAGCGGCAGGCCAGTGCCGCTGCCGGCTTCTCCGGGGACGGCTCCGGCTCCGGCTCGCCGGACGCCGCCATAGCGTCCCGACGGGCCTAGCCAGCTCCAGGAAGCTGCTGTGAGGTTCCGAGCCGGAGCGGAACTGCCCGCCCAGCCCCAAGAAGCCACGCCCTCAGTGGGGTTTTCCGAACTCTGCCCCGCCCCTGGTGACTACACCTCCAATTATCCCAGGGCCGCTCCACCTGCTAGCACTCTGCTCCCCGCTCCCGGTAAACGTTCTCAGGCGCCCCGCCCCGCAGAACTAGGCTACACCTCCAGGAGCCTTGTCGCCTGAAAGCCACGCCCCATCGGGCGAAATGAACCCCCAGCACGCCCTAGATTCTACTCCGCACTTGGAAACGGCACCCCGGGGGGGCAACACCCAAAGGAAACAAGCCCTCGTGGGAACGTCCCCCAGGACGACTCCTCGCCCTGGGGTTGGCACCGTACCCCACTTCCCCCTACTCTGCCCACCCCGAATGCCCAAAGAACTGGGCCCTGGCCCTCCGAACCGCAGATGCCTCCTAGGAAGTGGATTCCGTCCCTCTGTCCAACTCCGCCCTACCGCCGCACCTCTGCCCGTTCCCCCAGCCACGTTTGGAAACCAAACACCGCCCTTGGAGACCACCCCGTTCTTACTTGCTGTAGAGTCTGGCCCCACCCACCCACAAAATCCCCATTTGCCACCAAGTCCCTTCCGACTCAGCGATGTATAAGGTGTACAAGACAAAAGAGTTACTAGAGCAGATAGCAGTGGGGTAGCTGGTGGATCTTGATGTTAGCAGCCCAGCGCCTAACCCGTTGTGCCAGCGGAGCTCCAGGAGCAGGTTTAGCAACTGGCCCGCCCACAATCAGTAGCATTCCCGTGGCCACGCCCCTCCGAGAAATAAAGCCCCTCCCCCTGAGGCGGGTTGTCCTGCTAGTTGAGCCCGGCAGTGTCCAGCACTCACAGCCAAGGAAAACTCCAAACCAAACTCACGGCCACGGCGCCAATGCTAACTCACGTGGCTTTCCGAGACTTAACTATTTACGGGAATCGAAGGCCCAGGCTGCCTCCGGAGGAGCGGCTGGTGACGGTTCTGAACTGCGGGCCTTGCAGATCGCATCCCAGGTGTACACCACCAGGGCCCACTGTCTTAAAGTAGGTTGTAACTCATAGCAACCCTATTGGACAGAAGTAGACCTGCCCCTGTGGCTTTCCAAAGCTGTCGATCTTTACAGTAACAGACAGCCATATAGAGGCTGGTGGGTTCGAATTGCTGGCCTCGTTTAACAGTTAAAGCAAAACCCACTACATAACCAGGGCCTGCCTCAGTCCACGCTATTAACATGCGTTTCCACGCCCCTAAGCTACTTTATTTACAGGTGCGGCTCCACCTTAAGGCCGGCATTATTTACATATTGCCCTAACTCCTATATTACATTATTTACATGTACTGCTTCACCCCTCAAAAAAAACAACAACCCCATAAAACCCCAAAACCTCACTATGGAGGCAGTTCCACAGCACCCTATAGGACAGATAAAACCCTTGTGGGTTTCCGAGACTGTAACTCCGGGGGGACAGAAAGCCTCATCTTTCTCCTGCCAGTTCCTGGTGGTTTTGAACTACTGACCTGCAAGTGAGCCGCGCAAAGCATAACCCACATGCCTCCGGGGCTCCCAACATGATTTACATGTGCAGCCCCAGCCGCTGCTCCCGCTCAGGTTTCTGAGGCTTACTGGTATAAATCTTTAGGCTAGCGGATAGCCTCATCTTTCTCCAGACCCCGCCCCCAGGCTGCATTGTTTACGTGACCCTGCCCTTAGGCTGCCTTATTTACATACGTGGCCACACCCCTGGCTATATTATTTACAGGAGTGGCCCCACGCCTAAACCACGTGTTGTACATGCTCAGTCCTGCTTCTGTTAGGTGCTATCGGGTTGGTTCCTGCCCACACTATGCACAACAGAACAAAATACCGCACAGTCCTGCCCCATCCTCCCATGGTTCCTGTGTTTAAGCCCGTTGAGCTAGCCACTGTGTCAATCCATCTTGCTGAGAGAGCCTTCCTCTCCTTCGCTGCCCCTTCACCTTACCAAGCACGAAATCCTTTCCCAGAGACTGGTGTCTCCGGACAAGTCCAAAGTATGGAAGAGAAGTCTTGCCATCCTGGCCTCTGAGGAGCAGTCTGGCCGTACTTCTTCCCAGACAGGTTGGTTTGTCCTTTTGGTCATCCGGGGTACTTTGAATATTGTTCACCAGCCCTGAACACATCGATTCTTCAGTCTTCCTTATTCAATACCCCACTTTTACATGCACAGGTGACTGGAAATAGCATGGTTAGCATCAGGCGAACCTTACTCCTGAAAGTAACACCCCCTGGCTTTTCCAGACTCGGAAAAGGTCTAGTGCAGCACATTGAGCCCGTGCAACGCGTCCTTGGACCTCTTGACTGCTTCCTTCACGAGCACCGATTGAGCAAGACACACTCCTTGGCAAATTCAAAACATTTTTTGTTGTTGCGTTTTTCCTGATGTTCCCTGGGGATGCCTTTGTGAGGATTTTGATCTCATTGACGAGGAGTTTTCTGTCATCCATACTGAATGAAGGCTGAAATCCTTGGTCTTCCTCAGGCCCCGCCCCCTAGGCTACGTAATTTGCATGTGAGGCTCCGCCTGCGGCCGACTGAACCTGGCTGCGCCCTCCACTGGCGCCTTGGCCAACTAGAGGACCTGGGACCTGGTCGCCGCGGCACACCTCGCCCCTTGAGGCTCTGGAGCTGCTCCTCTGTGTCGGGTGCACCTGAGATGTGTGGCCCCGGCCAGCCAGCTACCGGGTGGAGCGCGAGGCCCTGGGCCTCCCTTGGCAAATATTTGATGAATGAGCCTGTTTGCTCAGTCAGAACCTGGTCCCGGCCTCCATGGCGATCACAATCCCGTGACACACCTGGCTCCAACTAGCTGAAGTTCTTATGGACCAGGACCCTGCTACCCCTCCCCCAGGACCCCTGTATCTCATCATCTCTCCCCTAGGGCCCTATCACCCCACTCCCTGTATCTGATCCCCTCTCCCTCTTCTCCATCCCCCCTACCCCAGAACGCAGTCACCTATCCTGAGAGCTTGCAACCCCTCCCCCGTGTCTCATCCTCCCCTTCCTCCAAGTCTCCTCCCTCTGAGTCTCCCACCATCACCCTTCTTTTATCTGCATAACCCTACCTGGGACCCCCGAAACCAACCCCCCACCCCCATGTCCCTCATCCTCCCCAGCCTCCAGCACATCTGCTCCGAGCAGACCACAACACGCGAGGGGGGGGGGGGCAGCCTCCCATCGCCCCTCCCCTTGGGCCCTCTCCCCACGCGCTCGCTTATCAGACAGAGCTGGGACCCCGAAGGGCGTTTATGTGTAGAGAGGTAGGTGGCAGCGGGGCCAGGAGGGAGCTACAGGCCGATGACGTCGTCGTCGAGCTCCAGGTCAGCGAGGGCGCTGCAGCCGGCTCTCGGGTGCTGTCCCCCGGAGCTGGGGTCCAGGCCCGGCTTCGGCTTCGGGGCGGCCTCCCCAGGGCGAGCCGCGTCCATAACGCCCAGCACGGCGTCCAGCATGGAGGGGCCCAGATCCAGGTGGAAGGTCAGCAGAGGGTCGGCGGGCGCACGGAGTGGGGGCGCTGGGGGCTGTGGGGCGGTGGGCGGCGGGGTGCTGCGCGGGGGCCCCCCCGCGGTAGGCAGGCGGGGCTCAGGGGGCGGCCCGCCGCCGTGGCGGCTCAGGAACGAGGTGTCCCCAAAGGCGTCGCCGCCGCGCCCCACGTGCAGCGTGTGTCTGAAGTCGCCGAGCGGCGCAGAGATGGACAGCGCGCCGCGCTCTGGCCGCTTCTTGGGCTGCGGGGGCCCCAGCTGCTTCAGGACCGGCATCTGTGGGGGACAGGCAGGGGTCAGCACAGCCCGGGCGCTGCATCTCCGATATCCTGTGTCTCAGCCCAGCGCCCCTCCAAAACCCCAAACCAGACTCACTGCCAGCGAGTCAATACTGACTCACAGACAGGGTAGAACTGCCCCTGTGGATTTTGGAGATGTACAGGGGAGAATACTGAAAGAACAGGCGCTACTACAAGGACAAACGGATCTGCCTTGGAAGGAGTATAGCCAGAGTGCTCCTTAGAGGCAAGGTCCTACGTTAGTTGGACGCATGACCAGGAGAGACCAGTCCCTGAAGAAGGGCATCTGCTTGGTAAAGTGGAGGGGCAGTGAAAAAGAGGCAGCCCTCACGGAGCTGGGTGGACACAGTGGCTGCAGCAATGGCTCAGGCATGGGGACGATTGTGAGGATGGAACAGGACCCCGCAGTAGTTCCTTCTGTGTGCATGGGGTTGCTACGGGTTGGAGACACCTCGATAGCACCCCAAACCAATACAGGGAGCAGGCAGCTTCCTCGGTTTCCCTGCAAGTGGCTGGTGGGTTGGACCGCTGACTTCGTGGTGAGCAGTCCCAC